GTACAGCAGAAAACACAGTGCCACCTTCATAGACATGCTTCACATGCTAAGTGCTCTTTGTGACGCCTGGACATGATGGATATAATCATGATATACAATGAACGTTTGTCATTGTATATCATGATTATATCCATCATGTTCAGCACAAACTTTTCCCAGCTATTATGGCACCTCCCTGTTAGAAGGATGCTTTAGATATCCAGAAACCAAGGGCTAACCATGTTTGAATGGAATGTAACCTCCTTGCAAGCTTGTTTAGTAAATAACCCTTTCTAGTAATCATGGTGGGTAATAAGATTAACAAACTGTATAACAAATGCTCAGTCTAATGCAGTATATAGCATCATGTTAAAAGAATGATGTGCCAAGGATCAGGAGAAGATAAAAGTGACGTTCCACAGTCAAGAACTACCCAAGAGCAGCTAGTTACCTCCCCAAATTGTATTCTAAATTGTAACAAAATTCCATGACAAGATTGATGAAAACCAGATGGTCAGAGCCCAATACTTTTAGCTTTCAAAATAAGAAACGTGAAAGAGCTCTGTGTGAAGGATATATAAGAATGTCTCCCTTCTATGGCTTGCCATTTTGTTTTTGCTTTTTGCATGCTATCTATTTCATTATCTTTTCTGCATTAAAAATCTTTCTGGAATGAAAAGCTACGAGACAACTTTTGGTAAGTATTACTAATTTAGTTAACCTCTCTGCTTACTGTAACTGGGAAACTTACTGTATGTCAATCAGTGATGTGTACCTCTAATTAGTTGTGCTAGGACTAAGTAATGTATTAGAGGGACAACTGTATTCAAGCTTTGTTTTGATAAATCTATGCAATGTTGGTATTGCAAACAGTTGCCTCCTGTGGTGCTTGTGCCTACCAGGGACAAAGAGAGGGGAGAAAATAAGTTACGTTTTCCCCCTTCTCTCAACTTCCCTGCCTTCTGCCACCTCCCACCCACTCATATAAGGGGACATCCCTGCCCTTTAGTTCAATAAAATTGCAATGTTCAGAATTATTAGCAGTGTCGTATATTAAATAATGCAGTATGTGCACTTACTTGTCTATTCCATAAACGTAAGTCATTGCAATATTCTCCAAAATGACAACAATAAGTAGAGGCAGTGTAGCAGAGTAGTCATCAAACATTGTTACAAAGTAATTACCAGACCGCTGCACAAATATGAGACCAATGCAAAATGCTAGAAGACAGCAAGCGACTATAAGAAAGCAGGGGGGAAAAAGAATAGAGGTCATATATCCATTAATACTTTTGGTATTATTTTCATTGTTTCTTTCTGAGATGATACTACACCTTGGCTTTGTTTTCTTTTTCTTTTTATTATTATTACATATAAGTACATTTTCCATATTTGCTATTGTATTGTACAGTGGTACCTCGGTTTACGAACTTAATTAGTTCCGTGACTCTGGTCGCGACCCAAATTGGTCGCGACCCAAATCAAATTTCCCCATAAGGTTCAATG